GTCACCCATATTGTGCCTGGCAAGGTTGGGTGACACTTGCTCCAACCTGTTGTCCATCCTTCAACAGGGAAAGTTCAAACATGTGCTTTGTCTATCATATGTCCTAAACCTGGTTGTGCAGCTGTTCCTAGTTAGATACATATGTTTCATAAGGGTGTTTCATACAAGAGCATTGCTAGGATTGTAAAAAGACCAGAAGCATCTCTGGCACCTACTGTAGGTTTAAAGCGGACCTTTACCCCCTTTTTACTAAAAATCACATTTAAAATCACCTTACATCATATTTAAACAATCTTCTTTTTCATTTACTTACAAATAGAGTTCATCCACTTCCTGGTCCAGTTCTGGCACAAATAATGTAACGTGCACAATCGTTGCATCTTGGGAAGGTTACATCAGCAAAGCATTGCTGGGAAATCTCACGAGATCTCAGGGAAAGGCATTTTCCTCCCCTGAGATGATGTGCATGGTCACATGTCCTAGTCACATGTGCCAGAGTTCCAGGAAGTAAATGGAGATCTAGTAATCTGCCCTTAGGTAACATGGCCACTGTCAGAAGACTGGGAAAGTAAAGAGAAATAAGGTGTGCAAAAAATGCAAAGCCTGCAATTATCTAGAAGGATGTCTTTGTAGATTGACACAACTAACATTTCTAAAGGTATGTTTGTTGTTATTTTAAAGATAATGGTAAGGGTCCACTTTAAATTTCGTGAGCGTTGTAGCATAATATAAATAAGAGTGGGTGGTGCTGTTTCTCCTGCCCTGTGTTGCCTCTACTTTGTCCTCTCCTCTAACTTTGCTGCCCTGTCTTTTTATTTACCTTTTCTTGCTACTCATGTGGGCTTTTGCAGAAAGCAGTCCCAGGCCAGAGAACTAGGGCACCAAAATGTACCCTAAAACATTGACACCAATGCTGGCGTGTTATTATTGCTCCCACTTTTTATGTTGTTGTTCTATAGAATGGCTGAGGGTTAGAGCCTCTTCCAGATCCTATTGCTATGTATGTCCCTGTTAAGAAAATGTACTGTACCTTTCAGTGTGTGCTTTTTTATTTGTATTACTATTATTACCACTGACCACAAATGAAGGGGGGATTGTTTTTGTTTCTACTGACTACCAGTGAAGGGCTTTTCTATATTGCATCTACTGACACCAGTGCTAATGGTTATTATTGTATCCATTGACACAGTTGCTGGGAGTTATTATTGCGTCCACTAACACCCATGCTGGGAGGTTTTATTGCTGACTTTAACACCAATGCTGGGGGTTATTATTTTGGTCAATGACACTAATACTGGGCTATTAATAAGTCCACTGGCACCAGTGCTGGGGCTTAACATTGCTCTGGGATATTATTAAGTCCACTGACACTAATGCTGGAGGATATTATTTCATCCACTGGCGCCAGTGCTGGAAGTGTTATTGCTCTCCCTTTTTTTGTTCTTTTAAATAGAATGGCCGAGGGTTAGAGTCTCGGTCAGGTCCTATTGCTATATATGTCCCTGTTAAGAAGATTTCCCCTTCAGGGGGTGCTTTATTTTTATTATTGCCACTGCCCAAACAAAAAGGGGGGATTGTTTTTATCACTACTGACTACCAGTATCGGTTTTTTTTTTATTGCATCTACTGACACCAATGCTTAAGGTTATTATTGAATCTATTGACACCTTTGCTGGGGGTTATGATTGTTCCCACTGACACCAATGCAGGGGGCTATTTTTGTGGTCACTAACACCAAAGCAAGGTTATTTTTGCATCCACTGACACCAGTGCTGGGAGGTATTATTGCATCCACTGACACCAATGCAGGGGGCTATTTTTGTCGTAACTAACACCAAAGCAAAGTTATTTTTGCATCCACTGACACCAGTGCTGGGAGGTATTATTGCATCCACTGCCACCAATGCTGGGGGTTATTATGGCTCCCACTTTTTTTTAATAGAATGGCTGAGGGTTAGAGTCTCTGTCAGGACCTGTTGCTATGTATGTCCCTGATAAGAAGATTTACCCTCTAGGGGGCACATTATTATTATTATTGCCACTGAGCACACATGAAGGAGGGGTTGTTTTTGTTCCTACTGACTACCAGTGAAGGGGTTTTTTTAATCACATCTACTGACACCAATGCCAAAAGTTATAATTGCATCCAATGACTCCTTTGCTGGGGGTTATTATTGGATCCACTGATACCAATGCTGGTTTCTTTTATTGCAGTCACCAGCAGCAATGTTGGGGATTAGTATTGCGGTCACTGGCAGCAATGCTGGGGGTTATTATTTTGGTTACTGACACTAATGCAGAAGGCTGTAGCTCGCGGTATACTGAGCTCAGGGTTACGGGAGGACGCTAGTTTGTGTCCTCCCGTTTCCTAAGGAGAACTATGGGGAAAAGCCCTAACCCCATAGTTCTCCTTTAACTAGCAACAAAAATTTAACTTATTTGTGTATCACTCGGCTGTAGATCCTCAAATCATCTCTGAATAATTGCTGACACTGTGCTTTTTCCTGGAGGGTGGCTTCTTTTGTTACCCATGGTCCCGATGTATGTTGTAAAGAAGCCACCGCTCCAAGCTCGCTCCCATGATGGACTACAATCTCAATATCAATTAGTAATCAAAACGTGAGGTTGTAGTCCATCATGGGAGCTAGTTTGGAGCAGTGGCTACTTTTACAGCACACACAGGGTCCATGGGGAACAAAAGCAGCCACCCTCCAAAAGGAAGGACAGTGTCAGCAACAATTCTACAGCTGAGTGATACACAAATAAGATACATTTTTGTTAATAGTTAAGGTATTGAATGCATTTTTAAGGTTTAACTCCTGAGGTTAGTGACATTTTATTACACAGTATGCTTGAATGCATAGGACTTACTTTGTCACCTCAGAAGCTTCTGGAGGCAGGCCTGTTCCTGGAAGGCTGCATGTGCTCTTATGAGCGTCACTGCTGGCCATGTGAAAAGAATGTCAGCAGCATCTAGAATGAGCAGCAGAGACTTAGGGTGTAGTGGTTAGTATGAGCTTACTGCTACAAAAATGCATTAGCAAGGCTTGGAGCACAAAAAAGTATATTTTAGATTATATTAATGCAAACCTAGGCAGCCTTTTAGGGTGATACCTCAACGAGGATTCATGGTCTTTATGTTTCTAGCATTGTAGAAGCCTTTGTGTGAGACAATGTTAGAACATTAGTGTTTTCTATTTGTCTGCTTGTTATTAATATTGCCTATCACACAGTACATACACAATATGTAAGTCTACGTATAACTGGCACAATTAGGTTACATTAAGATGGGGCTATTATGTGTAGCTTGGAAATCCTGTGACATGAACCTGCAGATTCTTAAGGCAGGAATCTCAGGTGTGTCCATATAAACGTGGCTACTGTGTCCGTTCAAGTTAATGGCAGGGTGACAGTGGTCGCATGGCAGGGTGACAGTGGTCACATCTGTCAGCAACAGTCCTCATTTATTAATTCCTGGACACAATCTTTCTGCATCTGTACGGTTGGACCACATGTGCACGGACATACCTGGGATTCATTCGGCAGGAATCCATAGGTAGCTGCCGCAGTCACTTAGGGCCAAAATCAAAATCTTTCTACATCAGAGCCCTTAGAACACGACAACGGTTTTTACCCGGTACCTACCTTTCTATGCCACTGTATAAATGTGTTCATAGAATGATTATGTAAATCTGTTTAAAGGACACTTGTAGTGAGAAAATATGGAAGCTGCCAATGCCTGAACTCTCTTTATGCAAATGTTAGTGCGCTTGCTGTCATGCCAATACAAAGTCACTGACTTGAAACAAATTTGTAGATCAGCATTAACCTTCATTCCTAGCTTCATGCTTATTTTTGGTACTCCAGAGACAGCCAGGCAGATGGCATTTAGAGGTGAAGGGCAGCAATGGTAGGCCTCGTACTGCAATGCAAGTTTCCTTTAATGACCAGGCTTGATATGATTTACTGGAAGGTCTTTAAACAAAAGTAATATTTATGTGTATTGGCTACATAAAGTGGTATTTTGTGATCCTTTTTGACTTTGATGTATTACATGACATACTGTTGATCTGTAATGACCTTGTCTTGTCTTTGAATAATTTATTATGGGAAAGAGATTCGGCTGCAATTTGATCACATTACCATGTATCCTAATAGTTTGCACTGCATCTACCTGTTAACAGACTCTCTGATTGCATTACAGATTCTCCTTTTTCATTCAGACCTGGTGATGCCTCCGTTTAAGTTTTATTTTGTCTAATAAGTTTTAAAGCTTTCTTTTTTAATAGCGCAGTGATGACATAGAGACTGTAAAAACCCCTAGCATCCAATTGCAATTGGAGTTTTAATGCAGTCAGATCAGTGAGGGGTGAATTAAAATGGCTGCTACGGGTTATACATATTTACAAGATTGTTTCCAGGTTATAATTTTGATTCTTGATATGTGCATTTCAAGGAAACGTGTACTGAGTGGAATATGGGGGCCGGCATTGCATACCTTGTTAAAAATTCATGTTGCCTGGCTGCCATGTGAACCTCTGGCTTCCAATGCTTTTCTGGTTCCTAACCTGGAATATGCATGCAGCCAGGGAAGTGAAGTCAGAATGCCTGATCTGCATATTTGGTCCAAATCAGTGACATATAAAGCTTTGGAAGCCAGAGGGTCGGTATTACAGCCAGGCAACTAGCATCTTCAGAAGCATAGGTTAGCGATCGCATATTTTCCTCAGCACAGGTTTCCTTTAAGCAAAAGCAAACATTGATATAACACAGCCCTCTAGAGTGACAAAAGAGCTGACAGTAAGACTTAAAAGGATCACAGTAGTTGTGAAATACGTTGTAAAATCCTGGTCTTGATTACAAAATGGGCGCAGAAGAGATGCAGATGCTTAGGCATGTACACTCTAAAAGTTGTAATACTATACAACACAGATGGGGGAAAAAACAGCTAGTCCATATTATACTTTATGTGCATTTTCCAGTATTGTGTGCTTACTCACCAGCTGCGTGCATAGTGCTTCTGGGTGATGCAGCGTCTGAGTCTTCCTCGCCAAAAATCAGCCGAAAATCCAGCTCCCCATCTTGACAAATAGCTGCCCCCATTTGAAAGACTGAGGGATGTGGTCAGAAGATAGAAAAAGAAGTAGAGGGATAACCCTGACAAAGCTGCAGAAAATAGGAAAAGTGAATAAAATGTAAAAAGGAAAAGTGATAAAGAGAACACAAAACGACAAAAAGATACTTGGATAAGCTAATACAAAGTTACATAGAAATCAGCAGATATTAGCAGGAGCTAGCAGTGCAAGGCGGAGGATGCGTGAAAGCAGGATAAGGACAGATACAAAGGGAGATAAATGGAAGCACGTTACTGTATAGAGAGGAGGTATATATACATATACAGAG